AGTACGTTTTCTACACACTTGTCTGACGCCTATATTTCAATATTGAATTTAATTTTGCTGGGTTTAAAGTCCTTTATCTGTAGGATCACCTCTTGAATATTTCAATCTCCCCAACAGATAAATAAACTGTTTACCAGATGTTTCTACAACAGATAAATACTGTTTACCAGATGTTTCTGAAACAGTCGAAAACATTGTGTATCAGAATATGTTGTTTCCAGAACGGAAGAAATGTTGTTAATAAAATGTTTCTAAAACTTGATGGGTTTGTGTTTCAAGGAATTGAGGAGCAAAGTTTTGTTAGATGTGGTTCCAAAAATTAATTGGTTAGCGCTCATGAGATATATCTAAAACAAAAAGAAATGTTAACGCATTGTCTCTGGAAGTGGGTAGATTGAAATGTTCAAGAGGAGATCCCTTGGAACTGAGGGGATTGAAATATTCAAGAGGTGATCCCTTGGAACTGAATGTTTCTACAACAGATAAACTGTGTACTAGACGTTTCTACAACAGATAAACTGTGTACCAGTTGTTTCTACAACAGATAAATAAACTGTTTACCAGATGTTTCAACAACAGATAAATAAACTGTTTACCAGATGTTTCAACAACAGATAAGTAAGCTGTTTACCAGATGTTTCAACAAGAGATAAATAAACTGATTACCAGATGTTTCAACAAGAGAGAAATAAACTGTGTACCAGTTGTTTCTACAACAGATAAATTGTGTACCAGTTGTTTCTACAACAGATAAACTGTGTACCAGTTGTTTTAACAACAGATAAATAAACTATGTACCAGATGTTTCAACAACAGATAAATAAACTGTGTACCAGTTGTTTCTACAACAGATAAACTGTTTACCATATGTTCTTACAACAGATAAATAAACTGTTTACCAGATGTTTCAACTGGTACACAGTTTATCTGTTGTAGAAACATCTAGTACACAGTTTATCTGTTATAGAAACATCTGGTACACAGTTTATTTATCTGTTGTAAGAACATATGGTAAACAGTTTATCTGTTGTAGAAACAACTGGTACACAGTTTATCTGTTGTAGAAACATCTAGTACACAGTTTATCTGTTGTAGAAACATCTAGTACACAGTTTATCTGTTGTAGAAACAACTGGTACACAGTTTATCTGTTGTAGAAACATCTGGTACACAGTTTATCTGTTGTAGAAACAACTGGTAAACAGTTTATCTGTTGTAGAAACATCTGGTACACAGTTTATCTGTTGTAGAAACATCTGGTAAACAGTTTATCTGTTGTAGAAACATCTAGTACACAGTTTATCTGTTGTTGAAACATTTGGTAAACAGTTTATCTGTTGTAGAAACATCTAGTACACAGTTTATCGTTCTAAGGACGATAAAGTGATTATTCCAGTTTATATGACTGTTTGGCTATGTTTATGTGTATGTGTCTGTTTATACCACTTTAGATTACTGTTTGGGTCTGTTTAGGTGCATGTCTGTTTATACCAGTTTAGATGACTGTTTGGCTATGCTTATGTGCCTGTGTCTATTTATGCCAGTTCAGATAGCTATTTGGGTATGTTTAGGTGCTTGTGTCTGTTTATGGCAGTTCGGATAGCGGTTTGGGTATATTTAGGTGTTTGTTTATGTCAGCTCAGAATGTTATTTAGGTACCTGTGTCTGTTTATGCCAGTTCAGAAGGTTGTTTGGGTATGTTTAGGCACCTGTGTCTGTTTATGCCAGTTCAGAAGGTTCTTTGGGTAGGTTTAGGTACCTGTGTCTGTTTATGCCAGTTCAGAAGGTTGTTTCGGTATGTTTAGGTACCTGTGTCTATTTATGCCAGTTCAGATAGCTATTTGGGTATGTTTAGGTGCTTGTGTCTGTTTATGGCAGTTCGGATAGCGGTTTGGGTATATTTAGGTGTTTGTTTATGTCAGCTCAGAATGTTGTTTAGGTACCTGTGTCTGTTTATGCCAGTTCAGAAGGTTGTTTGGGTATGTTTAGGCACCTGTGTCTGTTTATGCCAGTTCAGAAGGTTCTTTGGGTAGGTTTAGGTACCTGTGTCTGTTTATGCCAGTTCAG